GCACATAATCAGTTGCATGAATGTACCAAAGCAATCGCAACTTGTTCAAAAGAATGAGAAACTGCTTTTATGATGTGCACAAGTGACTAGATGATGTGGAGGTTGAACAAGTAGTTTTGAGAATTTCATTTCTGATCTGAGATATGCACCAAAACGACGAAATTACACACTGACACTCAAACGCCCACAATTTACTAATTACATCTGCTGCTGCACAACAAACAAGAGATTCAGTTAGATGGAAAACAGAGAGAAACAGACAGACAGACAGACAGACAGCTAGATAGATAGACAGATTATCTGAACATTGAGTGTTTACTGTTGTGTTTACTATTGTTCTTCTGCATTATTGACACACTATTTTCATATTTAATACTGTACAGCTGCTTTGACACAATCTGTATTATTACAAGCGCTTGATAAATAAAGCTGACTTGAGTGAGTGAGTGAGTGAGTGAGAGAGGGAAAGAATCGGGAGAGTGAGACGCTTCTTCTTCATGATCTTCATCATCCTCATCTCCTCCTGCAGGGTTTCCTCGCGCGCGGGTGAGTCTCTCTCTCTCTCTCTCTCTCTCTCTCTCTCCGCGTGTGTGTGTGTGTGTGTGTGCGCGCGGGGCTGCGTGTGTGGCGCCGAGGAAGATCCAGCATCCTCCTCCTCCTCCTCACTCGAGCGCAGGGAATTCGGTGTTTTCCCGGGAATGTCGCGGGCGCGCGCTGGTGTGTGATGACGGTAGCGTCGCGTCACTGAGCTGAAGGGAAGGGCGCGCGCGCGTGTGTGTGTGTGTGTGTGTGTGTGTGTGTGCATCTGTGAGGAGAATCACAGTGAACTGGCCTTAGCTCTCGGGCTAACACTAGCTGCTAACGCTGCTGCTTCTCTGAGATCGTCCAGCATGTGAAGGGTAAGACTGCACGAGCTCACAGCTTGTTGATCTGTCAGTGTAACGCAGCGCTGCGTCCGTCTGCTAGCGAATGCTTTCCTCAGACCATCATCACAACTGTGCCGCGAATACTGACTATTACGTAATGCATTCTGAGTGGATCTGAGCTCTGATGCATGCAGGGCCTTTCGGTGCATGTATGCATGCTGTGCATTCACTGCAGAACAAAAGCATCCGCGTGAGTGTAAGTGAGTGAG